CCATCCGCGCCGCGGCCGGTCCCGCCACCCGCGTCCTCTACGGCTTTGCTCCACGGCTCCCTGGTCTGCTGGGGCGGCCCCCCCAGCAGACCAGGGAGATGTGGAACAGCTTTTCTCGCCACAGGGGACGCGGGCGGCGGGACCGCCGTGGCGTGTCTCGGCGGTCTGCTGGGGGGAGGGAGGGTGCAGGTTCCCTCACCCCGTTCGTAAGTAGGGATCCGACATAAGTCGGATCCACGTAACCCGGGGACTGCCTGTAGTCTGTAACAAACTAAATTAAGAGACAATGCACAACTACTTTGACTACCTTTTTTCAAATAAACAAAGGGAGCTCAAAGTACAGTTCAAAACATTTGACAAAAAAAAAAAGGATCTGGTGATAGGGATGTATTGTATGGTGTAATTGCTGAGTTTTTCCAACATGAGACACAGTGGGCTGTACTGTACTTTTCTGTATTTCTGATTTATGGGGGGCTAATCTGAACTACAATTGTGTTTATTGTACGTAGTGCAGTTATTTCACTTGAAACTAGTGTGCTCACAATTGGCATATAGACACACTTTGGCTGTGTCTATGCTGGGGATGTGAGTAGCCAGTGCTGGGGGGAGCCGGCTTAAAAGGTGCTTCCCTCGCACATCTGTCTCTGCGGTGCCATTTGTCCCCCCCTGCTGATGCTTCCATCTGAGGCAGCAACTTGGCGGGGGGGCGGGGGGAGAGGACAGGGGAGGCTGCCCTGGTGGGGCAGGCAGCTCAGCTCACCCGAGTCCGGGACTTACCCAGTGTGATATAGTGTCAGAACCTTGCTGGTTGCTATGCTTGGGCTGTGGGCTGTGGATGACCCCTACTGGCCTCTTGTCTGTAAGCACTGCCCTGTGGGGGGGTGACTTGAGGGCCCCCATGACAGTGACTGAACTGGTTCTACCGTTTAAGAGAAGGGACGGAACAAAGGAAGTGAGTGTTGGGGGAAGGGGAGTCTTGGGCTGGAACCATGAAGGAGACAGACTAAGGAGGGGGCTGCGAGTCTGGGGCCCAGGCACCCCATCTCAAGGGGTCTGAGGCATCCTGGCCCTGACTCCTTTAGTCACATCACGTCTTTACTGTGCTGTATCCTGGAGAAGCAATAAACTTTCTCTAGTCTACTGGCTGGCAGAGCCTATTCTTGCTGCTACAGGGCTGCAGGATTCGGGGGGGAACCCCGACACACTGTCACACCCAGACTGCGGCTCTGCAGTTGAAATGTACTAAGAGATGGGCTGCCTGCATGCCTGCCTCTTAGTATGTTTAAATTGCAGAGCCACAGCAGAGGTAGGTCCCGGACACGGTGCAAGCCAGGGCTGAGTAGAAACTGGGCTGCCTGTATGTCCGGCTCCTGTTACATTTAAATTACAGAGCTGCTACAGGGGTAGCTCCTGGACCCAGCCCGAGCAGAGACTGAGCGCCTTCCCTTATTGACTAATTGTGTAGCTGATAAAAACTCTATCTACTACATGATTAGCCAGTTACCCGCCTCTTAACATCCTTAGTCTATGCTACAGCCTATAGAAACTGGGCTGCCTGTATGTCCGGCTCCTGTTACATTTAAATTACAGAGCTGCTACAGGGGTAGCTCCTGGACCCAGCCCGAGCAGAGACTGAGCGCCTTCCCTTATTGACTAATTGTGTAGCTGATAAAAACTCTATCTACTACATGATTAGCCAGTTACCCGCCTCTTAACATCCTTAGTCTATGCTACAGCCTATGTTAACATAATTTATGTTGCTCAAGATTGTGAATAAGCCACTCTTCTGAGTGGCATAAGCTCTCGCCAGCTTTGTCCACATATTCATTCTGCTGATACCATTATTGGACCTAACCAAGTGAGTTATAAGATCAAGAACACATATTCCTGCGCATCCAGAAATATAATCTACGCTATCATGTGCCGAAAGTGTCCGTCTGCTATGTACATTGGACAAACATCTCAGACACTTCGCCAAAGGATTAATGCCCACAAAACAGATATCAGACAAGATCACAAAGAGAAAACAGTTTCTTGCCACTTTAACCAGAAAGGACACTCTCTAAATGACTTAGCCACCTGCATTCTGCTACAAAGACCTTTTACATCTGCACTTGAAAGGGAATCCTCTGAACTGTCATTCATGTTAAAATTCGACACTTACCACCAGGGACTTAACAAGTCTTTGAACTTTCTCACCCATTATCAAGACAGTTTCCCCAATTATCACCTGTAATACCATTAACTCACAAACATCCCACTCTCCCTACCTCTAATATCATCAATTCACAGACACTTACCTTCCTTCCTCCCCCTTCCCACCCCCCCGCCTCCTCCTTCTGTTCTGCA